GCAGGGGGTGGCGTGCTTGTTCACATGATGCCCGGTGGATTCCTCAATCTTTGGCCTAGCCACAGTGCAGCTGAATTTCCTGTTGGCTTGTCTATTTGGGGCACTGGACTATGACCTCTATGAGGGCAGACCTGTGTAGTTCCCGTGTCTTTGGGTGCCTATGCGGTGGGCGTCAATTTTGGGTGGGTGCAGGATGGGGGAGGGAGAGGTGATGGTAGGGGGGGATGGTCAAGATATTTAGGTTAGAAGATACCTTCCAGGTGCCTGAGCCCAAAACTGTTTCCTAGACTTGCTCAAGGGCAGTCACCTGAGCTGCTCGTGACACTGGGGCCCAGCCAAGATGAATGGAGGTGCTCAGCCCTGCTCCCTGTGACCAGGTTCTGGCCTTTCCCTGGGCCAGTGAAAAAACCAGAGCTCTAAGCAGTTCTGAACTGAATGGAGCCGCCGCTCCCCCGCACCGATTACCACTCTCAGGAGGAGAGAGGTGCTGCTGAAACGTGAGGCACAGTTCCCCCTACATCAGGCAGAACCTTTGAAAGGGAAACTTCTCACTGAGTGGTTTCTAAGAAATACTCGCTAGTCACGTGTCCCCTCCTCCTGCCCCTGCAGGGGCTCTGACAGGAACTTTTAGGTTGAACAAGCAGTCCCCTTAATTGGCTGGGAGGAGCTGAGGGCCTCCTTTCTGGCTGGAAGCACGCCTTTGTTGAACCCACAGGAAGAGTTGATCTGGGTGCCCTTTGAACCTCACTGTCTCCTGGTGGACATCTACCATGGTGCTGAGAGCTTTATCACACACATATACACACTCCTACTTTTCGAGGGCAGAGATCAGATCTTAAGATGTCAGTAGGGAAACCCGGTGTCCGTGACATACACTGACAGGATGAATAGAGGCTGTGACTTGGCACAATTTAGGGCTTACTCTAAGTCGGTGGTTCTCAATCCTGCTGCACATCCCAACTCTCCGGGAGCTCTTCTGAGGCCCAGGTGACACCCGGGCCCATTAAATCAGAATCTCTGTGAGAGATCTGGAATCCGTTTTTCTTAAAGCTCCCAAGGTGGTTCCAATGCACAGGATTGAGAACCTCTGTTCTAATTGAACTTTGGCAAAAAGGGGGACTTCAGGGCGTAGGAATTTTGAAATTTCTGACTGTATCTATTTTGGTGGTTGTGATTAAAGTAAGAGACCTGGGTAAATGAGGCAGGAGAGATAAAACTGCACCAAGGTTGGGAGACCTGTGGAGGGTCCAGCAACTCTGTCACCTGAACTGCATGACCAAGTACAGGTGATGACTGCCTCACTCACCCTGCAGTCCAGGGCTACCCCACTCAGGAGTCTTCAGAGAAGTCGCTGATGGGGCTTGTCACCTAACCAGCCTTTAAGGACCAGTCTTTCCTATTTCAAGAGCATTTCCTAGATGCCTACAACTCCCAATTCAATTGTAAATTCAAAATTTTAAGATTGGCCAGCACAGAGACAATTCTTAGGTGGTTCCTCTCTGTATGTGCAGACCACCTAAGGGCCCCAACATCTGATTAAAACACAATCCAAATCAAATGCACAATGAGATGACACCTCACACCCATTAGGACAGCTACTACATATAATCTCTCTATATTTATAAAAACAGTAAGTATTGGCAAAGGGGTGGAGAAATTAGAACTGTTGGTGGGAATAGAAAATGGTAGAGATATTGTGGAATTATAGTATGGCAACTCCTTAAAATGTTAATAGAATTGCCATATGATCCAACAATTCCACTTCTGGGTCTAAACCCGAAAGAGTGGAAGCAGGGACTTTAAAAGATATTTGTACAGCCATGTTTATAGCAGTGTTCATAAGAGCTAAAAGCAACCTGTGTCCATCGATGGATGATATGGATAAACAAAATATGATATACACATATAATGGAACATTATTCAGCCCTAAAAGGAAAATTGTGACATATGCTACATGGATGAGGACATTGTGTTAAGCAAATAAGCCCATCGTAAAAGGACAAATACTGTACGATTCCACTTACATGAGGTACTAGTCTAGCTCAGAGACAGGTAGAATGGTCGTTGCCAGGGGCTGGCAGGAGGGAGGAATGGCGAGTTCGTTACTGCTGAATGGGTAGTTTCAGTCTTGCAAGAGGAAGAGTCCTGTGGTTGAGATGGTGGTAATGGTTACAGAACAATGTAATTGCCTAATGCCACTGAACTACACACTTAAATGTGATTAAGCGGGTAAATCCTGCTATTTTACTAAAACGAAACAAAGCAAAACAAAAACAAACCAAAAAACCCTATAGCCTAGTCTGTGATGGGCACATACGCAGGGGCTGACACTTTACAGGAAGTGGTTTATCAGGATAATGGTCTGAAAGAACTCTCTGAACAGACCAGTGAGGCCTGGGAGGGACCTACATTTATTTTGTAACATATGTGGGCGTAGGGGACAGTAGAAAGGAAAGTTCAAATTCCAGATTGGGAATGGGAAGAGTTGCTTCATTCATTCTTGTTTCCTGTTTCAGAAAGAAAATGTTTCAGACTCACAGGGGTACTGGTAGGAATGCTGGTAGTGTTTTTGATGGGAAACTAGAAAGGACAGATTAAAAAAAAAATTAACTGTTACAAGCAAGTAGGTAGGATGTTGACACACAAAGGGTAAGCTGGGGAGGACGTCCAAGAACAGTGGCTGCTTACAGCACCTCAGGGTTCCAAAAGGACTCACAGCTTCCATGAAGTCTGAGAACCCCACCAGACAGTCACTCTTCAGTCCGCTTTGATTAAAAAATGATCATGCAGCTTGATGCAGCCTTTTCGTGTATTTTGGCGTGCACTTATTAGTCTCTTTTGAAAAATCAAATGTGCCCTCAGAGAAAGAACATTTACAATACTGAGACTATTCCAAAAAAATATGCCATCTTAAACAGCAAGGGAGGCCACCCACGAGGCTTCTAAACAAAAAATCAGTGAAGTGAGTGTGTAATTCAGTTAAGGGGAGTGAGGCAAAATCCCTGGTCCACCAAGGCAAAGCTCTAGAATGTCTGCTTACAAACCAGGAATAAGGTAAAACCTGGGAGAGAAAAGCATATAAACAGGAAACGAGTGGAAGGATAAGGCAGGAAGGGCAGGGGGCCATCGCCTCACTCTCAACACAGGTCAGAGTCTGGCTTCAGTGTGCAGTCACGGCCTGTCTATATTCTCGGTTTGCTCCTTCACCTCTGTGCCCCCATGCCTGGGTGGGGCTGACCTGCGACTTCCGTGCTTATGCCCAGCCCTGGGGCCAGGCAATCATGTGCATTTGTCCACTGAGTTAACTCCCCTGAGGACCCTCTCCCACAATTCTAGTAGGAGTGGAAATCATCAAGTAGTGAATTGGCCCTCTAGCTCCCAGAATGCACAGCTTAACCTGTGTTGCAGGGTTCCACGGTGACCCTACTTCCTGTGCCCTTGGAAGATGTTCATACCCCAGCCTTGGTGAGCCGTTTCTGCCAGGTTTTCCCCAGTGTGGGCAGAGGAGGCCCAGGCTGGCTTCCATCATGTCTGGAGAGAGCAGAGGGGTCTCTCTTGCCAGGTAAGGCCTCCCTTCCTACCCCGTACACACACAGCTCCTTCCCACTGGCTTCCACTCTCCTGGAGTCTGGGCCTGAAGCTGGCTCTGGAAGGGGGATGCTGTAGGGGCAGGCTGGGGTCAGAGTGGGAAGCTGTAGGGCTGAGCTCTCCCTCCAGGTCCTCTGTCAAGAACGGGATGAGGACCCAACATGTGACTGCTGAGAAATTGCAGTCCTGAGCTCCCAAATCACAAATGCAGAAACCGTAAACCAAGGGGGAAAGAAAAAAACAAACCCAAGCTTTCTCCCTCCCAATAGCTAGTTCCAGTGATGTTTATTACTCAGCCTCAGCTGGAATAACATTAGACAAAAATAGAAACAGCCTCTGGTTTTACAAAGCTTTTGTATAAGTCCTCTGACTTTTCTGTTCATGCCAGGGCCCCTTGCTGTGGTGCCAGAGGTCAAGGGAGGCCAGCTGACCCTGAAACAGTAGGACTTGCAGACAAAAACATGGGCCTCAATGCTGGGCTCAGAGCAGAACCAGGAAAAGATGGCCAAGCAGCTTGTTTGCAGTGTAGCCTGGCCAGCCACTCAAGGTTAATGTGTTGGGATGAGCTGCTGGGGCCCTGGAGAGACGGGGCCCTGGAGAAACAGGCCCCAGACACGGGGCTGATCTAATTTAGGAGGATATGTTGCCTGCCACATGCCAGCGGGACCAGGACTCTGCCCCAGGCACAGAAGCTGGGTGGGCAGAGATCTGTGCCATCCGGTGGCTGGCCCAGGGAGAGCCTTGGGTAGAGAGTCTGGGAAATCTGTCCCCAGGGGTTGGTGCGGCCAGGAGGAGCAGGCCTTGGGGCAGCAGGCTCCTTATCCCTTCTCAAGAGCCCGCAGGAGTCCTGTCTGCAGTGACTGGCTGCTCACACAATGGGCCCCCACCTCCCTACCCTGGGGTGGCCAGGAATCTGGTATCTGCAGCACAGAGGAAGGCCCTGCACCCTCGGAGGGACTCGGAGGACCTGGCGAAGCTTGTCTGTATCCTGAGATGGGGAGGGGCAAGGACGAGTGACGCTACCACTTTCCAGTTGAAGCTGGTCCAGCCCAAAGGCCAGCTGCTTTTTGGAACCCCAAGATCACTGTTGTGATTTGCATTGTCATTTTGAACTGCCCAAGATTCTGGTCTCCTGGTTGTCTCACGTGAAGGCCCGGCCCTCCTCTGGGTCCTCTGAGACATCCTCCAGGCCAGGGAGATGGTGCTGTGGTGACTGCTATCTCAGGGGCTGCTTGAGTTCGAATAGGCCCGTTCCACCCTTGACGACCTTTCCAACCACAAGGCAGGCGGAAGGGGACCTCAGCTCGTCATGGGATCCTGGGAGAGACACAGAGCGCTTGTTAGGTGGCTGAGAGAGAAGCTGGGGGTGATGTAAGAGGGTGTGGGGCTCAATACTGAGGCTGGGTGGATAGGGCACCTTGGAAGCCATGAGGAGCAGTCCAGAGTCTTAGAGGCTGATGAGACTACAGGAAACATAACTGCTTCTGCATCTGAGAGAGGAAGGCCCTTTTCCCTTTCCTTCACAATGCAGAGGCGCTTTCCTGTCTGCTGCTCGCCCCTCCCCAGCTGCTTCCTATAGTGAGTCGGAGATCTCGCTCACACGGAAGGAGTATGGGACGGTGCCTGAGGAATAAGTCCATTTGCGCAGAGCACATTCAGGAGACAGGCCAAGGATACTTGCTCAGACACTGACCCATCATGGTGGCTTGTTTCAGGAACTGGAAGCTGGTTTCAAACGTCATCTGTTGTAGAGGGGACGAATTTGACCGGATCCCAAAGCGGTTCA